TATAAAATGTTGAAGAAGAAGAAGGAGGAGGAGGAGGAGGAGGAGGAGGAGGAGGGGGGGGGGGGNAGGAGGAGGAGGAGAAGGAGAAGGAGAAGGAGAAGGAGAAGAAGAAGAAGAAGAAGAAGAAGAAGAAGAAGAAGAAGAAGAAGAAGAAGAAGAAGAAGAAGAAGAAGAAGAAGAAGAAGAAGAAGAAGAAGAAGAAGAACAAGAAGAACAAGAAGAAGAAGAACAAGAAGAAGAAGAAGAAGAAGAAGAAGAAGAAGAAGAAGAAGAGACAACCACCCTAACCCAAGAACTGGTAGAAAAACCAGGTCTTTAAGCCTTTTCAGAATGCCAGCAGGGTGGAAGTCAAATAGATTTCAGGAGGAATCTCATTCCAGAGTGCAGGCAGGCAACACTGAAGGCATGTTTCTAACTGAAGAGACCCAGAACATATCAACTTCGTCTGACTAAACTGGTTGGACATATAGTACAGGAGTTGCGGGGGGTCCTTCAAGTAACCAGGCCCTATGCCCTAAGTAAGGAAAATAGATGGGCAGCACACAAATCAAATCAAATCAATCAATCAATCAATTAATTAATTACAGGATAGAAAAAATATTCTGATAGCCTAAATATTGAAGCCAGAGTATTTCATTGTTTCAATTTCCCACCATTAATTTGGGCTTCAAAAAATTCTACATTAGATATTGCTCCAAATTTAAAGCAAGTTTATCACAGAAAAATTCAGAAATTGAAAGACATTGTAATTCAAAATAAAAAATGAGTTTGTTAGAATACTTTTTTTAACAATTTGGGCAATGTATAGCAGCAGTCCTATAAAATTATTTATAACCTACATAATACACTACTCAAGCTGCACTGTTTGTTTTTTGCATAAAAATTTTATCTGGCTTCCATGGTAGAATGTGTACTATCATAACAGAAATGCAAAAATCAAAATCATTTACCTAAAAGTTTGAATTTCTTTTAGAGATTATTTCTTACACACCAGACTATGTTCACAGAAACCCAGTTACAATATTAAATGTACTCCCATGTGTTTTAGTGATGTTCAATTATCTGATGTACTTGCAACATTCCCACCCATTTATTTTCCTTTGTAAGTAGAGTCTGTCAACACTGCTACAAGGATGAAGGGCATGATTCATTGTCATTATTTTTCTGATGTTCTATCTAGGGCTTTTAATTCTACTTGAGTCCAGTCTACCATTCCAGCTGTGCATCTAATGACTGGAACTGCCCAAGTGTTAATTGCCTTGATGGTATTTCCTCAACTGAGTTTGGATTTTAGGTGCAGTTCATCTTCACCTTCATTTTTTGATCTGCCTTGGCTCTTTCTCCACCACTTTGGTGGATATTATAAGTTCTTTCGTTTAAGCTTGTTTTTTTTATTCTTATTCACCTCCTTTATCCAAACTCCATTCTTGTTGCCTTTTTTGGGAGGTGCCCAGAACTGCACTGTTTCTTCTTTGTCAGTTCTGGCTGGTTCACTGCGATCTCTCCATCACTGCATTTCTGTTCAACTGAAACTGGACATTCTACCTATGGTGTGCTATTCAACATTTGTATCTGCTGATCAACTTGGTTATACGCATTATTTGCTACTTTATTATTTCCAGTGCTTTCTTAATATTCCTTGTTTCTAGGTAGTATTTCCTGATCAGGTATTCATTAGTGTTCTTGTTGTTTAATCTGTTTTAGCATGCTTGCATCTGATCTTAGTCTGCTGATCTTAATTTCCAGTCTGATTTTCCATTTTATTGGTGCCTGTTTGCCTTTTTATCTTGTTTGTTGATTTTATCTCCAAGGTATTATTATCATCTTGGATGATAATTCAAGGAATTCTTTAGGAATTCTAATCTAAAAGATAGACCCTACACTATATTTTTACTAATTTTGCAATTGTGTCTTCCACTCCTTGATGCTTAGTGTCAAAGAAGAAAATCATTCCTCCCTATTCTTCTGCTCCAACTAACTCCTTTGCAAATAAAATAAAATAAAATTTTAAAAACCTTCTTCAAATTTGCCCTCTTGATCATAACTCCCATTTACCTCTCCTCTTTCTGCCTCTGTGTCCCCTGGGACTTAGCTATTAATTGATCATCTAACCAGGGAATCAGTCCAACTATAAGGCGCCCCTCCCAACCAAGTCCATATGTTCAACTCAGCAAGTCCACCCTCACCCAATTTGCCAAACAAATGCAACTGATCAGTTTCACAAATGTATGAGCTCCCTCTTAAAACCTGCCATTGCTGAATGTCTCCGACTGTAAACTCCCAGCTGCTTCTTCTTTTTTCAAAGGAATTCTATGAGACGCAGTAAATGCACACAAAATTAAGTTTAAATAAATGTAGCCAAATAGAAGTCTTGAGCTCACCACTTGTGAGGAGTCCTGCACAAGCTTGCCACCTCATCCTAATAGCAACAGCGAGTATCACTATCACGTGGCACTGCAGCAGTGCAGATTGAGTGGAAATACCATGTGACAGGCAAATTCATTAGATCTATGTCACAGAGTCACTAAGCAACCCTCCCTTCTACAGTAAAGCAAGGTGGGCTTTTTTCCCCTGGGATAGCAGGCAGGCATTCCTTCCACAGTCTTATAGCTCCATACCCCATAGCTTCCAATGCACAAAAGAGACATTCATTTCCTGCCTCCCTCCAGAAGGTTGACTGTCTTGCTTGAGTAGAGGATTGGACTAGAAGACCTCCAAGATCCTTTCCAATTCTGTTATACTGTTACTAAAATATTGCATCCTTCCTCTCTCCTAAAAAGATTTAATTAATATCTATTAAGTTTTGGGCCATATAAGGTCTAGAATCATTATAACTGTATACACATTTCAATTTAATTAATCATTAAAGTTTCAGCAAGTTCGGAATACATTCAGAGGAGGAAAAAAATGGGGAAATAATTAAAAAGAAGGGGCTATATAAAATCTTTTCATATATAGTAATGTCTTTCTTTTTTTCTATTTTTTCCTTTCATTACAATATCAAATTCCAAAAAGAAAAAAAGAAACAATTGTAAGTACTTGCACAATATTGATTGTAATTACCAGTAACTAATGGGTTTATATTACATTCTATAAGCAAGAATGTACAGAACTATTTTGGTGTAGTGGTTAAAGCATCAGGTGAGAAACTAGAAAACTATGAGTTCTGGTTCTGCACTAGTCCAATTTGGATGACTCTGGGCTAGTCATTCCCTCTCAGGTCTAGAAGGAAAGCAATGGCAAACCACTTCTAAAAATACTGGAGACAGTTGCCAGGAGTCAAAAATGACTTGGTGGAACAACTTTTAACTGTGCATGTGGCAAATTATATTTTCAGTTTCTATACTTTAATTAAGAAATATATAAACACTTCAACAGTTGTTATTTCATGTATTTGCAATTTAGTCATGTTCTCATCTTGATAAGCAAAAATTGTTTAGGAAAAATTGCACAAAACAAATTTTTTCTCACATAGCAAGTCGGAAATTAGAAGGAACACTGTTAACAGTAATTCTGTCAGTTTAAGAAATACAGAATACAAAATATATACACAGAGGGTATTGTAATTAATACTGATGTTTATTAGTAGAGGCTATTGTAATTAATACTGATGTTTATTAGTAATGTGGTGCTTAGTATCGTAATATTCTGAAGTCAAATAGTACAAATGCAATTTTTCATTTCATGCTATTTTTGACTTTCATCTTCTTAGCAAGGCTCTGTATTTGTACTTTAAATAATTCAATATTTGGACAGCGCAGTAATAGCAATGTGATACCAATTAGAAATAGAATTGATACATACAGATCCGATTTTCAAGGATCCACTGAATGCGGGGACATACAGTATTATTGAATACAGCAGTGTATTTCATGCATCTGTAATATAATTAAGTGTTACAGAATGCAAAGCTTCATAATTGTGAAAGAAACAGAAACAATTTGAAAGATCGCAGGTGTTTTCAAACTAGTGTTTATAATGATGAGAACATGGGCTACAAGAATAGTGCAGGAATTTTTAAAGGAAGTGAGATTGCCCTTTTAATTCAATTAAAATGTGCGCCCAATATGCAGAAATGAAAGTTAAAAATAAAACATTTGTATGATTATTTAGCTGCAGGTATATATGGAATCTTTGCCTTCTAAAAGAAGCATGGTGAGCCACACCACTCATTCAAAGACTGAAAGCAAAAGAAAATAATAACTTCCTTCTCCACAAATCCTTTAGAACAGTACCAGGAATCAGATTACTGGCTAAAACAAATCCAATAGTACTCATAAAAATAAACAAATAAACAAACTTAATTGAAGTGATCTAAAAAATATTGGGAAGTAAAAGAAAAAGTACACAAGGACCATGACATTGTGAGGATGTAATGCATTGTGCAAGTGAGTCAGATGGTTCAATAATGGGGGGAAACTGAGTACAATACTAAGTATTAATAGTTTCTCCATATTTAATCTCATTTCATAAATTATTCTGAATATGTTCAGCTCTTACATGTATTATATGAAGGTTAGATTACTTCTGAATGGCTACATAGTAACAATTTTTGAAAAAGACTGAAATAAAAACTGATTTTGTAGTTTCAAGTAAGAAGCAGAACTGATTGCTTGGTCATTTATTTAACCTCCATAAATTAACAAACTACTGCATATCAAAATATTTCAAGGTTTTATTTTCATCCCACTTCAAATGAAATAAAAAGTTTTGACTTTACAAATCAATAAAATCAAAACTTTCAATTTCTCAAATCTTAGGGTTCAGTTCAGTGGGGAAAAAATATATACAACCCAAATATTGTTCAAACCACTCTCATCTTTTTCTACAAAATAAAGCTTTTGAGTCATAAATCAATTTTATGATTGATTCTATCATGACATAAAATTTTAAACTTCTTCTGACTGTAGGATAGGCAACTCTATGAATAGAAAACATTACATTAGAGGTGAGATATCCATATATTGAAGAGAGATTTTTTTCAATGTCCTTTTTGTTACCTTGATAATGGACTAATAGCAATAGACCAGACCCGGTCTTCTGTCTGTATTGTATGCAGACACTGCCCAGCCCTGCCTGATGATAAGGACCAAACCTGAAGAGAGAAAAAAGATGAATGGTGCATAGTAAGATGGATATATAAATAGTTGTGCTTAAAAAGAAAATTCCTCCCAATAAGATACTTTGAACACATTCTTAAATTAATGTAAAACCTCCATTCTATTATTTCAGTTACAAGATTTGGGGAGAATAACTTTGTTTATAGCAATGAAATAACAGGATGTCATACACTTAATAATAATTATACCTCATTATATATTATTTGTTCCCAGTCTAAAATGGTTTGTGAATGATTTTACACAAACCGGGTATTGAGGTTCAGAACCTGTTTCAAATTCCAAAATTTCTCTTCACCACCCTCCAAAATTGATATTCTACTTTTCACATGCTAAGACTGAAGCCTCTGGTCCTCACTCCATTTATTCTCCCCCTATTAAAAACCTTGAGGGTATTCAAAGTTTGGCATATTGTTTGTGTTTGTTTGTTGACATTGATAATGCTTAGGATTGCAGGCTATTCAATGTCAGTGAGGAATTTGGCACCTAGTGTCAGCAAAAGCAGCAGAAAAAACTTAGCTCTTTTAATGCATCCCTATCTCATAGAGGTTAAAAATATTGCTAGGAGCATGCTATCTGGTGCCTATCAATGTGGAATGTGCATTAGCAGCTACTCAAAGCTCAACCCTAATCAACACTCACTATCCTTCCAAAGCACCCAATGCACTTACAGCTCCCATTAGAGACCTAATAGGGATTCCCTTCAAGTTAGGAGTTAACACAAGGAAAATGTCAGGGTAAAAATAAAAGCAATTCTCTGCTCATAAGGATCAGGCTTGAAGAGTGTTAGTTGAGCCAGATTCCATTTCTGCCTTGAAAAAAAACAACAATGAAGACAATTAAAGGAAAATTCTCTGTGACTTTCAAAATGCCCCCAAGGTCATGGGATGCCTTTAACTTCAGAGTAACAGAGCAAGCACACTGGACCCTACAGTATTCTGTATAGTGGATCATCCATCATAATTAAATAGTTCTGTATCTTCTCATAAACACTGGGTATGCATTATTTTTACAGTTCTATTAGGTCAGCAAAATCGTCCAAGATGAACTGTGACATAGAAAAAGGCCCATATCAAAATATGCTATCTTGAGACAAGTTCCATTGTCCTCTTGAGTCATGTTTCTATATGGTTATATGATTTGAGTCACTGTCCCATTTCATATCATATGAATGCAGTAACCGTAACTCATATCATATTTAACTATGCTTTTTACATCAGCTTCTGGGGAAGAGTTCAAAAACTTCCAAATTACATAGAACTGTTTTTCAGTAAACACAGAAATTATTTCTGACCTAATTATAAAAAATGATAAAAATAAATCCTGATTCTAAAAATAATTATCTCAATGTTTTGGGAAGAGAAATAGAAAGAAGGAATTGAAAAAAAAATGAAGAAAATGTTATGCAACTCTTCCTCTTGCTCTCCGCTCTCCTCCATTGTTTTGCCAGTGCAGAGGCCTAAAACAACACATGTTCTCAAAGCTTTGGACTATACCAGGGGTAGGCAACCTTGGCTCTTTTATGACTCATGGACTTCAACTCAGCATGGCTGGCTCAGGAATTCTGGGAGTTGAAGTCCACGAGTTATAAAAGAGCCAAGGTTGCCTACCCCTGGACTATACAAATCACTTAAATATGCTGTAGACTTTGTAACATTATGAGTGTTGCAATTAAGAAATACATTCATACTGCTATAATTTAAAGAAAATGATTATATTGCCATCTTGAGCCAGTATTTTTCTTTGTTGGGAAAAAATACTTTAAAAAAAAAACAAGCTAGGTATCTCCTGTTAATAAATGTACTACAATGTTGATCTCACACATAAAATAGACACACACACTTCCAACTGTACTTTTCCCAGCCTGTTTTTGATTTTTTTTTGTCCCATCATTAGGTCATTTAAGGAAGAGAAACAAATACAATATTCTGTTCTGTGCTAGGCTTCTAAACAGTTGGTCTTGTGCCTTTATCCAAGGACTGGAAGTTAGCAGGACTTTGGCATTGGGTTTTTATTTGTTCACAAAGTTAAATATAACAAGTACATTCTAGTCCCAGCCATCAACTGTGTTTATGTACATTGACCTGATACCACAAATATACAGTAAAACGTATTCGCCCACCTTTGCTGTTCTGTCTCGAGAACCACTCACAATGATAGACTCTTGGGAATCCACACAGTTCACTTCCTGTTGGTGCCCAAGGATCTTAAAACTGAAAGAACTATTAAGTTTATGGAGGGCAATATTTCCATCTCTAGAAAATAAAATCACAAGCAAAAAAAAATCACCATCTCAGATAAGATCATAAGGCATATAATACTGTGGCATATGATGAACAGCTGGACATATCCTGATGAGGGACCTGTTATTCTGTAAGTAAGGCAATTTACTGGATTAGGCTTTAAATTATTCTAGGCTGCAGTCACTAGATATGTGCAAAATTACAGCAGAAAATGGAATTAGTGGAAGAATAATTCCTCAGGCTCTAGCTGGAATTACAGTAGAGATATCATTGTATAAACAGAGGCATAGAATCAAGATCACGCAAAATATTAGTACCACTTCATAAAACCCTAGTAAGACCACACCTGGAATACTGCAGCCAATTTTGGTCACCGTACTATAAAAAAGATGTTGAGATTTTGGAAAAGTTCAGAAAAGAGCAACTAAGATGATCCAAGGCCTGGAGACTAAAACATATGAAGAATGGCTGCAGGACTTGGGTTTGTCTATTCTAAAGAAAAGAAAAAATAGGGGTGACATGATAGCAATATTCCAGTATTTGAGGGGCTGCCACAAAGAAGAGGGGGTCAAATTATTCTCCAAAGCACCAGAGGGAAGGACAAGAAACAATGGTTGGAAACTGACCAAAAAGAGAAGCAACCTGGAATTAAGGAGAAACTTCCCGACAGTGAGGACAATCAACCAGTGAAACAGCTTGCCTCCAGAAATCGTGGGCGCTCCATCACTGGAGGTTTTTAAGAAGAGACTGGACAGTCACTTGTCTGAAATGGTATAGGTTCTCCTGCTTGAGCAGGGGGCTGGACTAGAAGACCTCCAAGGTCTCTTCCAGCTCTATTCTATTCTATTCACTTCTGAAATATCAGCAGAATGCCAGTTTAACAACATACAGAGTTCAGTATATTTAAAATGCTAATAAATTCTGCATACTAAAAGGTGTCTACAAATTTATCCTAAAATATACCTTTCAGGGTATATATTCTTTTAAAAAAGCAGGTCTACAGTTTTAGTTTCATGCAAATTACCTGCATATACAGAAATAGTTTGACATCTTTGATGGCAATTTTTCAAATAATCAAGATTACTGCATTATTATGCAAACTCAAGTCCTATTTTGCACTAAGAAAATCAGATTATCTATATGCCTATTGAATAAAATTCAAAATTTTCCTTTATCTCAGTATTATATATTCCATATGCATGTCTGGTTTTTTGGTACAATTATTTGAATGTTGGTGTAACAGGAAGAGGCAAGGAATATAGTACATAGTTCACTACTATAAAGCTCTCTTCATAATCAATAGAAAACAATGTTCTGAAAGTGAGTTCTTCCTGTTCTCGTTCAGCTATATATCAATGCTAATCGCTCAACAATCTTCATTCTCCTCCCAGTTTCTTTCAATAAAGAACTTACCCTCCTCCACTGATAATATGGCCATTATTAACTACAAAACGGCACACATCCTCTTGGTGACCAGAGAAAACTGTCTGAGGATACCATATCAAATTGGTATCTTTAGGGTGGAGCCAATAAAGGTGGATATCTTCTGCCTGGGATAGATAGAGGTAATCACCATCTAGTTGCATCCAGGGCATTAAACTGGAGAGGAAAATATTTTAAATAGAAATCAGTGTGTGTGATTTGGTTAGCCATATATATTTCTTTAATAAATAAATTAATAAATCAGTCAATTTCATGTGGTATTTATACCAAATACATAAATATAATGTATAAAAATCAATGCAAACATTGTATATATTCATATTTGTAATCTGTGCAACTAATAGATCTCTAAATGCATTTTAGAAACCATACCATAACATTGGTAAAGTACAACTTCTAAAGGAGATCCAATATTCAATCTAGCTATTATTAGCCTGGGTGGTCTACATAAAATCGGTTTGATTTCAAATGCAAGTGAAATGAAATGCTAAGTTAGAACTTTATATTTTAGAACTTCAAATTTCTCCTTTCTTAAAACATCCGTGCTTTATTTTGTATTAATCCCAACCAAATCAACTCAAATGAAGAAGAAACTTCTTTATAGGAGTGTATTTGTGCTTCTATTTTGCAAACTTAAAATAAAACATTCTATGCTAAAAAGAGAGCAGTGAATAGGGTAGGCAGGGGAGTCCTTTCATACAAAAGATATGTAAACAAGCACAAAAAACTATACTGAAAAATTTTTGTGACAGAGAAGACTTCTATATAATGGCTGATACTGCAAGAAAAATTAAAAGCAACAAAGTGGTTCATAATAGGAAGTGGAAAATAATCTAAAAAAAGAAATAATATACCAACCTAACAAGTTGCAAAATGGGCCAGTTTAATCATTCCTTTTTAAAATATATAGGTCTCAACAATTAAGATTATTCATAACATTTAATGGGTTCATATCTACTTCATTTAATAGCAAGGGAAACTCATTATCATTATATAATTCTCTTATACTAAACATGACTATTTTCTCTTGAAATATTAATAAAACTTTGTGAAGATTTGCCATTTGAACTTGATGAAGTTCACTGTTCTCTTTACAGCATAGAATTTATTTGCAATCAATTCAACAAATTACCAAGAATTGACTACGAATATAATTCTGAGCAGCATAATTAAAATTGAACCATATAAATTCTAATTTTTCCAGAGTGTTTTGGAAAGGTTGTAGACAGAATGGTATATATTATTGTCTTTTCAGGCAATGGTCAATTATCCAGGCTTTTTGTTGAAAGTTTTGAAAGAAATTGTTAAAATCAGTTAATAGTGTTTATAAAAAGCATGCTGTTGGTTCATTGCCCGTATTTGCTATGCTATATTAACAAACACAATTTAAAATTTTCTTCATTTCTTGATGCTAACTGCCAGTTTTGTTATTACAAAACATCTGATATGAGAGATTGCTCTAGCAGAAAAAAATATATACAGCTACCAAAAATTTGAAAAAATGGTAATGAAGGATACCTTTGCCAATTTAGGTTAGTCACTATAATGTTTGCATTAAGATAATGCACATACACAGTCATACAAATATACACACAGACACACAAATATATATAGATATACATAATATGTCCTGTGTGAGTTCAAAGCTAAATAATCATTAAGTAGCAAATTTTCAAGCCCCAACAGAGTTACACAAAAGATAACCTCATTTACAATTAATAGTAAATACCTATTTTGGGGGAAACAGAAAATATTCTTATTATTTGTGGAAAAGTCTGCTATTACCTGAAAGTAATTAATTAATTAATTAATTCTGTCTATCTGTCTGTCTGTTTGTTGTAGTGGAAAAGTCTTTACCCTTCTTGGAAGCAAGAAGTAATGAAAGAGAGACTATGTTCTCACTAGCCTTTAGTCAGCCCTATTTAAAATTAGTAATCACCAGGAAAAGGATAGCATAAAACTAAAAATGTATTGAGAACTGGGATATTAGAAAAATATTAGTGATATAAGCTAGTAAAGCCTTACAATAAGCAACTGTAAAATGTCCAAATTCAATGTAACAGCCCAATAGAGACCAAAAATGGGATGAATTCCAAAGAAAGGTAACTCTAGCTGTAGATAGTAGGGTGAGGAAAGAAAAGGAATCACTTGCTTGCGTTTCCATCTGAGGAGTGGAATTCTTCGACAGCGTCCTAGCCTCCAATTCTGAGAAACTTTGACTCTTTCTTTCACTGGGATTCCTACCACTCTGCAGGAAGAAAAGACAATGTAAAGTCAGGGCCTGATAGGACTCCATGAAAATTAGGATTTTATTACAGTTCCAGTTTTCAAAGGAAAAGAAAAACAGAATTGGCCAGTCAATGTAATCCCCTTTCTGCAATAAAATATATTTGCAATCCTAGTATATAAGAAACTAAACTCTTTGAATTTTTTCAGATAGAAATCTTCTAACACATTACACTGACTGTACACGTTTCCAATAATTTAGCAGACTTTAGTATATGTATCTCGTTATTTTCTATGAATTTAGAAAATGTGAATGAATAATATTTCTTCCCATAGTTATCACATGCTTCTGACACTCTGATGCACTATTTTAGGAACCTAGAATGTATCTTTATTTAAAATTGTTTTAAATACGAATTTGAAAAAGAATGTGTCTTATTATTGCATAAAAATTGTTATGATGGTTCCACAAACTTGATTTTTTTGTTTGGGGAGGGGGTCAGCTTAATAAACTGGCTATTAAACTGGGCATCTTCTTTTTCTGGTCAATATTAAACTCAGGACCTTTTTTTCCTGGTCACTTCTCATTCCTGTTTTCCAAGTCACCGCTTAGTTTATTTTCATTTGAAAGCATGTGGTTCACAATGAATCCTCATGCAGAGGAACACATTTGTAACTATAGCTCAAAGCTATAAACTGGTCCAGAGCAAACAGGAATTGCCCAAAATAATACACAGGGAAGGAAACAAGCATTTCATTTTTAAATGAAAAATGAAAAAGATCAGTCATACATCAAGGAGGTTTTGTTTAACCAGCACTATCAAGAGATCAGAGTTTAAATGTAGTACTTGGTGGACCAATGAAGTGAAGAATGAGTAACCCTGAAATCTTCTGCATGAAATCAAACTACTTTTAAAAGCATATATAACAGTGAGAGAAGCAAACTTCAGAAATGTTTTTATCAAGGTCTTGTGCAAACTCTTGACTACCGACCCCTCAAATTCATGGCAAATTGCAAAACTAGAGTTATTGCAGCTGTTTATTATTAACACAAATTTGAAAGAACATTGTTCTCATGAAGCTAGAAAGGTGAGTTCAGGCTAATTAGCTACAGTCAACTTCAACAGTCTAGTTTAAGCAGGCATTACTGCATGTTCCTTCCTTTATTACCCTTACTTCACACTTTCCTCTCCTATTATTCTGGCCATCCTTACTGTTAAATTTTGGCCTGAAAATTACTTGTAACAATGACTTATTTTTGTCCAATAATTTATTGGTGTATGTTGGTCCACTGACAAATATGTTGACATTCCAGGCATTCCATGTACATATTTTTCACTATCATTCCAAAACTCAGGAACTCAACCCAAACTCTCAGATTTTCCATGATACAGTAAGTCTGAAGTTACATCATTACATGTAACTTCACATCTGGATATAACATTTTTGTACAAATTTTCATACAAAAAATCTACTCGTGGTCTAGTTTTATCCTTTAAAACAAGGTTACAATAGTGAATAACAGTGGTTAATACTTTCTTTTTTTAAGGCCACTACTCTAAGTAAGACTTGCTTCCCAAGGCCATTACAAAGTACAACACAAAATGTAAGGCATTTATAGTGCAACAAAATTCATGTGTACTAAAGGCATCTATCCCTGTCCATCTCAAGAGTTACTTTAAAACAGAGAGATACATAGCATTTTTCTGTGACATTTTCATTCTTTATTATACTAGAAATTCAAAACTAGAACTAGTTCTGCTCTATGCAATCACAGAAGTAGTCATAGAAGTATGTAAATAAGTAAACAAATAGAGTGGAAACATGAACTAGGCTCTGCTGCCAAATAAACAAACAAAAAGGCTGCAATTGGAGATTTTCCATCCATCAAACATGAAGTTGAATTGAAGATCTCTAACTTCCCATTAGCTGTGAGGGATAACAAAGAAAAAGCTCTTTTCATGCATTACTGGACAGACCTCAAAAATCATGAATAATACATTTAAAACAATAGAAACACACACAAAAAGTGGTGCTTTTAAACAGTTTTCTTTTTGTGTCTCAATAGGCTATGTTAGAATCAAAGGGACATTAAGCATTGGTTGCTGGGTGGTAGGTCTTAGATAACAAAATCATATTTATTTTATAACATAATTTTTTAAATACGCCAATTCGAAACAGTGAAAGTTGTATGTTAATTTTCATAGTCTTGAGAAATTTTCTTTACGGCATCTCACACCTTTTTAGCAATGAACTCCTTTCCACTGTGTTGAAAATTTGTTTGACATAAAATAAATGGCACAGGCTATGCAATCATATTCATATCCTATGTTCAATTGGGTTTAATCCCTAGTAATTGTATTTTGGATTTGTGTCTGCACTTGTCTGTGTATTTGGCTTGCTTTGTTAAATCAGATGATAATTGAATAGTTTATTATTATTGTTATTACTAAAGGATGAGTTGGGATATTCTAATGATCTAAGGATTTATTTGTGAATTCAGTTAAGATCACATTTGTGACGACACATGAAAGACCACTAACTGACATTGCAGAAGAATTACAGTTATCCTTCTTACCTCTTTTCCCAAGCACTACTATTGTTTCAAAAATGACAAAGTGCCCAAAAGAGGGGGGGGAAATCCCCCTTTAAACAAAGATCTCTTGTGGCTGCTAATGCATGGGAGAATGTGTAACCTGGCCCTGAGGCCTGGCCAAACCAGTATTCCCAGCTCTTTCCCCACTGCCTGTGGCTCAATTATTCTTACTCTTCAATTCCACTCCCTTTTCCGGCACTTTGTCACCATTATAATTTGACTGCATTCCTCTGCATGGGATCAGCTTTACACAAAACATATAGATTTATTTCACCTAAAAATTTTCTCCTGGTCACATAGACACCAAAGAATCAATTGACAGATATTATTCAATGCACCCTACTTAAAGAAGTTATTTTATTTTATATGATTATTTTACATTTTGCCCTTCAGTTATATGCCCCATGACCAAGCAATACGCAAAAATACAAATTTATAAAAAGAACATATATGTGGTAGTTTAGGAAAAGGGCAAGGAAAATTTAAAAAAAAATCTCTGCTGAGTGTCAAAGTAAGATGACTATAGAATATCTTGGGAGACCACTACAGGGTCAGCATATGGTCACTGAAATGGTTATTTCTATATGTGGCAAGGTAGAAAAGGACCTCCAGTTGTACTGCTAGGTAGTCCTTTAGTTACCTCTGACCCAAACCATCAAAGTTTTCAAATGTCAACACTTAAATGTCAATACTTTGAACTGAGCCCAGAATTAACTAATGCTGTACGCTCAAAGCAAATGTTTCCATTTGGGAGTCTGGCAGTTGTATTTTGAGATTTCAACTTCAGAAGAAATATCTAAACTCCAATCTAGGTGATACGGCAGATGGGTAACTGTGACTGGGCAAAAACTATTGAAAAAAAATAGTGGCTGACATAGTAGTCTATATTAGAATCTGTCGCATATTCATGGTGGGAATACACTTCTCTCTAAGAATGCTTGTGAACTTAAAAGTTAAAACCCATTTAATGATAAGGCTCAAACAGATACGCTTAACTGTAGATATGAAATAAGTCCTTATAATGTTGAAGATCAGCTCCTACAATGTAGCAACCATTCATATTAACTATTCTGCATTTCTTTCTCTCCTTATATTTTAACTAACATTTTCTGCCATTTCTGAATCTTACATGTTGAGAACACTTCAACATGTAAAACTTCAAACAGCATCTATTATATAAGCTAACATTATCTCCATCATACATTGGTACCATTAACACAATAAGCAAGTCTATATTTACTTCAGGTTATTAGAATGCTTATAGGGATACGGTTATACTTGAATATACTATATTGCCTACAATATCCTAAGACATCATACTAATCCTATGGGAAAGAAATAGGCGCTTTCCTTATCTATCATTTATGCTGTCATTCTAAAGGGCATATAATTCTAAGCAGTGGTGGGATTCAGCCAGTTCGCACCACTTCGGCAGAACCAGTAGCTAATTTTTTGTTGCCGAGGCCCAGAATGGATTTCCGGAAGCAGCATCCACACAGAGAACCAGTTGTTCACATATTTGAATCTTACCACTGATTCTAAGTGTCATATAATTTTTGATTGGCATTGTGCATTTTTAATAGAAAAATGTAATGGCTATTGTTAAAAACAATGTATTATTTATCCCATTTGTACCCTAATGACTTTGCCAGGACGCTTGAGGGTTTTAATAATAATGTATAATTCTCCTACTTAATCTCTTATAATTAACTCTAATCCCCACTTCAATGAATAAGAATACAGCCTGAAATAGATGAAACTGATTAAGACTTGGCTAAGCTAAAACCTAGGACATAAAGTTAACCCTAAGTTTGTTTTAACTACAATTAAGCATGTAACCATGACATGTTTGTGAAGCAAAAAACCATGAGCTTAGAGATCACAATGATTGGATTCATATGTATGCTAATCCAAAATAAAGTACATTACATTATATATTAAATAATATGTCTATTTGCAACTGGTAATATTATAATTGTCAGATTTCCCAATGTAGTTGCAACATAGTGGGCACTAAATAAGAGGAGATATAAGAAGTAGCAAGAGTGAGAAACTGAACAATTTGTTAAGCTGTGAGAAAATTATGTTTCCAAAAAACAGATTTTGTAATAGCCTAAAAGCAAACTTTATTGCTTTTCTTTGTACTATGGGATGCAGTATAATAAATCAAATAGAAACTATGAATATACCTTCAAAAATGTATATACAGTCAGGTCTCAACTTACGACCATAATGGAGCCTCCACATTACAATCATAAATGGTAATGGCCATTAAGCAAGATAGCCTCACTTAACAACCCCACACCGCATGCTGCACCTGATGGGACTGTTAAGCAAATGCATGGATCATCAAGGGAAGCAGGTGGTGCCTCAGGGGTGGAAGAGGCCCTAGAACAGGCATGTCAACTGCTGGCCCACGGGCCGGATGCGTCACGCCAAAACCGCACCCACCCCATTGCCAGCAATGGGGAAAAAGTCCCTATATCACATGACGTCACGAGTTTGACATGCCTGCCCTAGAAAGCCTAGTGCAGGCCCAGGCTCCTGCCCCAGGGCTTCTCCCACTCCTTCTGAGCAATCCCTATGCTCAGATCCTGTAATAAACAGTAAGGATTAAACCTGGACCTTCTGCATATTCTACCATCAAATTATGGTTCCTCCAATACTAGCTACAATTTCTCTTTAATGCTAATGCTTTAATGCTATTACTGATAAACTAGTTTTATAGTTAATTCATCAGAATGTTAATAGTAGTTTTAGCATCCAACTACTCCATGAAGCAAATAATACTATTAATTTAATAACAGCGAGCCAATTTGGTGTAGTGGTTAAGTGTGAGGATAGAGCAGTGAGTTTAAGACCCCCTTAAGCAAGAAGTCAGCTGGTTACTTTGGGCCAGTTGCTCTTGTTCAGCCCTAGAAAGCAGGCAATGGCAAACCACTGGCAGTTTTGTACTGATCAGGGAAGACATTCATTCCATTTTCTTCCTCTTTCTAGATTAACATAATGCAGAAATGCTGTACCTGTGATTGTCACACTAGAGGTCAGAAAGGACCTCCAGTGATACTACTTGTTCTTTTTATCAACGGACTCAGACATGCTGAAACAAATGCAGATTTATAAGTTTCATTCACCTCAAAATCTAAAAACTCTACATAACCCTGCAGACCTATTAAAACTCACATTCTAACAAAATTAAAACATTTTGAGGCTTCAGAATTAACACAACTACTGGTTCAAATAGCTTGTGCACATCTTCTAAGAAAGTGCTTTCATTATAAAGAACCAGTTGGATAGTCCAAAATTATTCTGATTGGAAAAATATACGAACACTATAGCAGAATTCCTAAAACGTTTTTCGGTTTTAAAAAAAGCAAACCCCAGCCTCACTCAAAAATAACTGGGTAAAGTGGAAAATTCTATCCCTATTTTTTTTACAGGTATGTAAAAACAGGATATACCCCTCAAAATGAACTACAATAATTTATTCCCTGGATTCGCTCTAAAGAGAGCCAGCTAAACTTGTCCTGAAATAAATAAGTCGGATTTGTCTTAACGATAGTTCTAATTCGAACCCGGGGCGGGGCAAGTATCAAAAAACTGGAGTGAGAAAAGTCACCAGCAATCTCGTATCCAATACAGTCGGCTAGTATGTTCCAGGGAACGTAAAATGGGAAGTTTCCCTTCTGAGCAACTGAATTCAAAGCTATTTCATACCCAGCACGGGACCCAACCCAACCCGGACCTGAGACCTCCCACCTGCACAAAGCAAAGTTTCTAGTAGTCAGAGCTTTAAGCAGCATTTCCCCCTCCTTCCGCCCCGCGACTACGCCGTTTCAAACACAGCCCTCCTCCCTTATCAAGCGGGCGGGCCTTGATTTCAGAGTCGCTCCTTAGCAACGAATTAGGCCGCATGCCCTGTTTTTCCCAACCAGCCTTCCCCAGCCTAGGCGCTTACAGGTCGGCGCCCAGCGCGCTGAAGCCTGCGTTCAGGGAGAAACGGGCGAGGCGCCTCCACAGCACATCACGGGAAGTGAAACGGAAAAGGCGGCGACAGGTCTGGCCCAGGCGGCCCAAGGCCCTCGCGTCCAGGTACGAACAGATCAGCAGCAGCAGTTCCTCCGGCAGCGTCCACAGCGGAGATCGGATCTCGGCCTGCGGAGGGCTGCTGGGCCTCCCCATGGAGGGGAGACCTCTCCCAGCCGGGCCCGGCAGCGACAAACTCAACAGCGGGAACGCTGCTGCTGCTGCTGCTTGCCGGGCCCGGGTAGGCCGTCGCTCTTCGGGGCGGCTGTTTCTGCCCGCCTGCCGGAGCCGTCACATGAGTGCGTCCAGCCCTCCAAAGACCGGTCTTCGTAATGCATTAAACGCCTGAACTGGCTCTGCGTGGAGTTCAGGATGGAAAAAGACAATCGGATACTCTTTCTCCCCAGGGCCAACATATGTTTCTCGCTAGGATAGACTAGTTGGAGGCAGGTTTAATTCTAATGAACTGGTAAGCAAGGATAGTTATACGTAATCTTATTGTGAGAACCTAGCCTGGGCGATTATTTTAATTCATGCACAAGCCCAGAAAACGGGTCGATTAATTATGGGTAAGTATGTTATGCAAGCAACTGCTCATGCTAGGTTTATTATCTCTGCAGGAATTTTCTGCATATTTTCCTCCCTCAGGATTGTAACGTCCAACCACTTTACAAACAATAGAAATAGATTTGTATCTTCCTGGTTCCTAAAACAGTGGTGGTATCTATATAACATGAATTGCCAAAATATCATTTCAGAAAAGTTATGCCTATATGTATTGAGATACGTCTTGAAAGCAAATTGATAATTGTTGTATGGACTGTATCCCTGAACATCAAAACTCCAAACTAAAGTTTTCTTGTTAGGGAACATCACAACTATTACAAATTCAAGTCCTTGGTCCCTAAGTGAGAATCTGTCTCTAAGCCACTTCATATTTTGGAATTACCATATTTGAAAAAAGTTCTGCAAAATGAAGGACTTATATCATATCCTGTTCATTTTAATTAATACTACACTTCTTATAATACAGCCTTATTACAATACTTAACAATCCTGTAGAAAAGATGCTCTTATGATCCCAGATATTTTATGAAACTATATAAAATGCAAGTAGTACATCTTCATTTATCCTATATCCTAATATTACACAATCATAAGAAATAACTTTTAAAAAACAGCAAGGATATTTACTTTTTACAGAGGATACTGCTAGAAAATTTAGTGTATGAATCTAAATTTGAGGAATAATATCAAAAATATTCTGATGGAATTATTCTCACCTATTATTAACCAGTGTTTCAGGTGAGGTACTAAAGAATCACCCTGTATGCAGCTTAGGTTCTTTCCGTGCACATAACTACCTTACAAACTTAGCTTGTTTATTATGAATTGTTGTGAAAGGAGACATTAGAGACTGCACAGAATTTTGTATGTATGAGTGTGTATGTTTCCAGATACGTCTCCTCATAAAGAGCAATAATTATTACTATACATTAAGAAGAAACAGATGTTCACACAACATCTCAGACACATCAAGTTTCTCATGGAGAAACTTTATTATTACAGTCCAGCACACTTTCAGGAACAATGCAAGTATATGTATGTGTAAGTATAGTCATTTAATTTTCCTTTTGTCCTGAGACACTCCATATTTACCATCTCCAGAATATCTGAAAATATAACTGATTACTGTTGGCCCAATATCTGCATCTTTTTTCATTTATTTTCATGCACAGTGGAGAGGGCAGGCAAATGAATGAAAAATATATTTAACAAAATGTGTATCCTCATCAAAACAGTTGGATATGTATGTAGATGCTATTTGTATGTTGCCAAAATCCCTATAGAAGAAATACATTGATAACTACAGTTAATATGGGCTACATATTTTACTATCAATACAGTAATTTTTTCCAAGTATGAAAGGAAGGGATGCAGTTAGTGTCCATACTGTCACAGAATCTAGTGATTAATTAAAGTCAAGGATCTTGCTGTATTGAATTGTAATCCTGAAATACCTGAGACAGATTACCTCTTTGTTTATTTCAATGGAACTGAAAGTTGAAAAGTTGTTAAAACATACACAATTATAAACAATTATAACTCTTGAATTTAAGACATTAACAGTGATAAACTGTATTCCATAATATTTTCACAGATGTGGAAATATCTTCATTTTTTTTCAAACTAGAGTACCTCTTTATTATTGTCCAAGGCCAATTTTCATGCATCTTTACGTAGTTGTGATATATTTGTTATATAGATTATTATAAAATATTTTTATAACAAAAGTTCATTTAAAATACATCAAGAGTTTCTAACAATACAACATTTACCCTCTTATAAAAGATATTGGGGTGCTTATCCATTAAAAGAAGTCAAATATATTAATTTTCTGAGTATCTAGGATGATGTATGATAGTAGTAGGAGTAGACATGAAATAAATTCCATACAAATATAGTTCCTAATGAAAGGAGCAATATAAAAGGAGATGTTCAATGTCTAATCTGCTGTTGACCCACAGAGGAAATTACTTTCATGATGCAATTTATAGTCGAATTTGTCCTTTAGTACAGAAAGTGAAATTACATTACCGTATTTTCCAGCGTATAAGACGACTGGGCGTATAAGACGACCCCCAACTTTTCCAGTTAAAATATAGAGTTTGAGCGAGAGGGGGTGGGGAGAGAAAACTTGATGAGTAATATGCCAAATCACACATGTGTAAAGGAATAAAATAGAATACCCGTATTTTCCGGCGTATAAGATGACTGGGCGTATAAGACGACTCCCGACTTTTGAGAAGATTTTCAGGGTTTAGAAAGTCGTCTTATACGCCGGGAAATATGGTAGTTCTTTTTTTAAAAAACTCCAAAATTTGAGTAGAGACAATTTCTTAAAATAATAGGTTGACTGGGTATGCATGAGCTTTGTTCTTCATATTTTATATTCAAAAAACCCCTACATTGATTTGAAGTTCCATGCCTTTGATGCACTGTATAAGTAACTCTAGTAGACAGATGAGATAACTGATGCTCTGATCTAAGTTTTGATACTACGGTAGTTATACACTGCAGTGCCAAACCAGTTAGATCAGGGGTTCCCAGCCGGGAGTACTCTCACACCCCCTGGGGTGCGAGACGATATTCCAAGGGTTTAGAAATTTCAAAATTATAGTGTATATGCATAATTCATTGCTGTTATTTCAAACTTTTGTAAGGGGTGCAAGAATATATCAGAAGTGTCCTAGGGGTGCGGGATATAGAAAAGTTTGGGAACTGCTGACATAAATCTTAGTTATCATAAAGTAAAGCTGAAAATCATGCTAGAATTCAAGTCTAGAAGCAAGTAATTGGGTGGAAGCATACAACTAATTTGTTAACTTTATTTTCATTTCCAAATGTGAAAAACATGTTTCCTTATAATAAATAACATGAATCCCAAAAGCCATCAAAATTTGCAAATTTGCATCATGTCTATCTTACACTGTAATCAGCAAAAAGTCATTATAATACACATACACTATAGCCACTTAAAATGCATTTAGTCAGGCAGACTTCCTTTTTTTGTCCTGATGTCCAGCCATTGTTTCAGTGTTTTCTCAGGTTAATAAACTTGCTTTTTTTCTCTTTCACTTGACTACTGCATTAATTCTGTTTTATCTGCAAAATTTAAGACAGTATGCAGAGCCTAATAGAGCACTGAGCATTTGTGGGGCTTCTGCTGTCATTACGTTGTGGAAAATGAAAATATTGGCTGTTTTTTTATGCAAGATTTAGGCCCAGATGAACTAAATCAGGCCTCATGAACAAAGTATTGAACCAAAGTCTGTGCTATGTTTAATTTTTCAGTTTGCAATTGTACTTTGCTAAGCTTGCTTGTTTCAAATATATTTAGAACATAAAGTCTGGAACAGTAAGAAATAGGGAACTGAAAGCTGATGGATACGGGTTCCAATGTACACTGGTATATGTGGAAAGTTATGTTCAGCAGAAGGTCAGCAGGAAGTCAGCAAAAGTCAGCAGAAATCAGCAAAAGTCAGCAGACCATCTGACTACAGTCTTAGAATGGGAAAGGGTATAAAGAGTTGGGTCTGGACTTGATTGATTTGCCATTGGCCTATAGCTGTCCTTTGGAATTTGCTATGCCAGTGGACCTCATTGCAATGGGTTATTAATGTAAGTGATGTGTTATTAATGCTTGCTATGTTCCAAATTATTAGCAAAATAAACCTCTGAATCTTAAAGTAAGAATTATTGTTTTGTGTTGCTGCCTCGTCTTTTTCATTGGGTTTTTTCCACGACAATGTATAGTAACTTCATGGAACTTTCAAATGAAATAAGATGCCTTTCACAGATACAGAAAGCAGGCTATTCTTACATACCAGCAGAATCAAACTGTTAGCAAAACAGATTTTATTATATTTACAGATTGGTTTCATAGTTTTTTTTCTTCACCACTATGAGAAGGTAGAATTTTGGAGATCAGGTAAGATACAGGTGAAACTGATTAAAAGGAAGCTGAGAGGAAAAGTTAGCAAGGCCCAAATTTCCTTGAAGTGCATGGAACCTGGTTAAAGCAACAATTTTGAAAGCCCAGGCAGAATGCATACCTCAGTGCAGGAAAGAAACATAATTAAATGAGGGGAACCATACAGCTGACCAATTCTGTCAAGGAAGGGGTAAGGCACTCAATTATTATTTATTAAATTTATATGCAGCGCATCTCAAGGTTTGACGTGACTGGCTTACTATGTAAGGAACTAAAAGTTGACTGCTGGTTCGTAGCAATCGATCGAAAGGCAGGAGATTTTGTATTAATCAGTTCAGTATCTTCATTGGCAATTGTTTAGTTTTTATATTTAATCTTAATCCATTTTTTCACTGCTCCTTGGTTTTCATTATTAAAGTTTGCATATCATTTGCATTTTCAGCTATAAAAACAGTATCATTAGCATAGTTTAGGTTATTGATTATTCTTCCTCCAATTTTAAAACAATGCTTCAATGTAGTTCCTCCATATATATTCTGCATAAATGTTGAATAGATAAGGGGAGCATTTATAATTTTGTTTCAGTTCTTTACTAAACCCTAGACAGTTTGTTTCATGTTTAGTCCAGACTGGCTTCCTAACCTGTGTATAGATTTTGTATGAGGACAATGACATGTTCTGGAATTCCCATTTTTC